CTCATGAGTGGCGGGGAGGAGGTGGCTGCTATGATGTAGTTTACTTGGCATCTGAAAATACATTTCCTCAAAAGTACGTATTTTGAATCTGAAAAGAGCTTCACTGAGTGAGAAGTAGTGTTGAGAGCAGCAGACATTTTAAGTTTCACTTTCACTTTGTTACTGCAGAGAGCCTGCAGGAGTCATGGGCGGGGTGTGTGGGGARGGGGGGCGCTCTGCCATGAGGAAGTTCGGCTTAAATACACGTCYCAGGGGCGTTTCTGGTCCCCACCTGTCGTTTTGCTCCTCAGCATGGCTTCCTAAAAACACTGTAGGATTTCTCAAACATGCATGAATGAGTCCAAGCAAGGCTCTGGGCATGTTTTTTATGAGAGTATAACATTATAACATGATATAAAACTCAAAAAAGCTGATTTAACATGATATTGCCCCTTTAATATCTTGTTGCAGATTTCTCTTCGAATGACCTCAGTTTRGAGAAACAGAGTTTAATTCTAATCAGATTGACGAGTTAGCAGCTAAACAATAATATTAAACAACTGCAAACAGGTGATGTCGTTATGAAATGTTTGGAATTCGAGTGACATCAGGTTTGGATAAACTCACAGCTTCACCTGCAGCACCTCCACACTATTTTCAAAGCTGTTTTGGTTTGTTCGTCCAGGACACTATGATCCTTTCGAGCCAGAACTGGATCTGCCTCCATTTGAGGAGGAAGAAGAAGAACCAGCGCATCCCAAGAGGAAGAGCCCGTCACCACAGCCCACAGCACTSCTGCTTCCTCCCCGCAAGTACACAGAGCATGACAGGAACGTGGTGAGTTTTATGTGACATTGGAACATCATCCTTATAATACAGATATTCTGAGCATCCTTCCTTTTAATTTTTTTTTCTTACAGGACCTTTTGAATCACATCGTTAACGACATTGAGGTCTTCATGGGGAAAATAGCTGCCATAGAAGCTAAAAGCGGGAAGAAAAAAAGAAAAAAGAAAAAAGGGAAAGGTAATGTAACATCAGCTCTTAAATAAAATCTATTTTTACACGCACTTATGTGCACGTTCGCCCTGTTCTACTTGTTTTTAGGTGGGGATGGGATGCCTCCTGATGAGGAATTTGCAGAATGTTTTCATAAAATCAAAAGTGGCTTCAACCTCCTGGTTCGTGTCTTCATCCAAACTCAGTCACTTCATCAGCTGTGGCTTCTGTTCACTCAGTGAAACGTTGTGTAACTTTTTACAGGGAGAGCTCAACGGAAAGATCAACGATCCAAGCGCTCCTGATTTTGTCCACTCCTTGTTCGCGGTTTTAAATTTTGTAAGTGACTCCAAATGTTTGAGTTTCATTTGATGAAACTTTATTTCAGAATTTCTGTTTTTGAACTACAAAACAAACTCATGGCAAAAAAAATCCTTTTTCTGTTTTTTGGTGCTTGAAAAGAAAGAAACAAACTAAAAAAGTAGGAAACATTTTATTGCTTCTGACAGAAAAACAAAATAAGTAGGAACTATTTGTGTTTTTAGGAGAGACTGCTGATAACAAAGTGACTGAATATCTAAATCAGGGATTGACAACTGGCAGCCTGCGGGCCACATCTGGCCCTCTGGTGACTTCTGCCCGGCTCGCTAATGAGGCCGCTTAAAAATAAAAGCTCCCACAGCAGCTCTTATATCCAGGAGCTGCTTTGAGTGCCTTTTTAGTATACACAAACCTGTGTTTAGTCTGCTTAGAGAYGCTGTCTGCCATGAAAGATTTTAATATAAGTCACCAACACGTTGCACAAAGCTAAATATGAGAAGTTTACTGAAATTGCAAGTACACAAGTAACAGTGATTGTTTTTACCAGAACCATGCAGGAGTCTGCACTCAAGTAGTCTTACACTGTTACTTCACTTCACTAAATTAGTGTTTATTTTTGTTTGCTTCAACTATTTTGTATTTATATATTTTTAAACAAGTACAACTGTTATATACCAAGCCTGAAATATGTTAAGTTACTGCACTGTGTATATATA